CGACACCGTCGGTCAAGTGGTGCACTCGTCGACGTGAGGTATATTTGGCCGACTGCACCCCAAAATTTCTGGCAGAAATTAGTTCACAGAGAAAATGCGCCTTCTCAGTTATAAACGTTCTCTGGCCCAAGTGTATTATATTGAAACTTGAAAGGAAGTTCTTGGTTGTGTAACGTAGGGGCTAGAACTGCCGCGGCGAAAAGCTGAGCTGTTAAAGGCCCTACACACGCATTGATTTATCGGGCAACCAGTTGACCGACCTACTTAACGAAATTCCCTACAAACGCACCAACCGGTTGGCCGATTTCATTTGAGTGACAGTTTTTTAATGTGAACAATACAACAGCACTGGTAAACTTTTAAGCTATGCAATGCAGCGTTTTTGCTGCATTTAAAATGCAACATTTAGCGCTTTCGAACATATGTTTTCAAAGAGCGTTCATGCTATCTCATTTAGCAAATGTACATCTACGCGAATTCGAAATCGTATGCTTTTGACAAACAGCCGTGTTCCAGTGGCTTATTCAGATCCTCATCTATTGCGATCAATTCTCACGCAGAAGACAATGTGCAAAAAACCCTACTGAAAAGGAAAAAAATAAATTGTAAACCAAAAATTCAATACAAAATCTTGAATTGTTTTAACCATAACCAAACATATGTTTGTGAATATATTCATTTGTCGGTGCTGTCAGTTAAAATTTCCTCACTTAATTAGGAAACAAACCAAACAGAGTTCATCACAAATTGATTCAGATTTCTATCAGCATCACATCGATGTTGAATTGCGTAACTTTTCTTTATCCAAATAATGTAAAATAATAAATGAAATCTCGATCGGCGAACACTGAAACGCAGCTAGCCACTGTATACGCGAAAAAGCAATGTTGCCACTCTTTTCCATTAAACCATATTCGAATCGTGGAAATTTTGGAAGATCACGGGGTTGCTTTTAGCATTTAGACTCTTAATGCAAAAATGGAGTTGCATTAAGTTGCATTTACGTGACGAGCTTTGTATGGATAAATGTACATTTAGAGTAGCATTTAGAGCTAAATGCGCTAAATGTGCTTTTACGCGTAAACAAAAACAGCCCATAAGAATGCTTCTCTTTTTTATGTATTTGTTATTGCTACCGCTCCCGTTTTCATAAATTATACACATTCTCACTAACGAAACGAACCGTAAAACACATGTTAAGGCTAATGCGCCTTTAAAAAAATGAAATCGCATTTTAGGTTGTCAACTTGTCTACAAACAGAGCAACAAGTTTACCAAGCTGCCCCATAAATCAAAAATTGAGAAGGCGTATAATTTATGAAAATGGGAGCAGTGTCAAAAACAAATACTAAAGAACGTAGATCTATAAAAAGAGCCAACACGTTATAATTGTAACGAGTGGGAACATCAGGAGCGTGCTTTCTCTTTTGCCCAAATACATTTTGTGATTGGATGAAAAGAGAAGGCACGCTCCTGATGCTCACACTCGCTACAATTATGACGTGTTGTCTCGTCTTATAGATTTACGTTCTTTGCAAATACACAAAGATGAGAAGCATTCTTATGCAGCGTTTTTGCTGCATTTAAAATGCAACATTTAGCACTTTCGAACATATGTTTTCGAAGAGCGTTCATGCTATCGCATTTAGCAAATGTACATTTACGCGAGTTCAAAATCGTATGCTTTTGACAAACAGCCGTGTTCCAGTCGCTTATTCAGATCCGTATCTATTACGATAAATTCTCACGGAAAATATAATGTCCAAAAATCCCTACTGAAAAGGAAAAAATAAATTCTAAACCGAAAATTCAATACAAAAACTTGAATTATTTTAACCATAACCAAACATTTGTTTGTGTATATATTCATTTGTCGGTGCTGTCAATTATAATATCCACACTTAATTAGGAAACAAAACAAACAGAGTTGATCACAAATTAATCCAGATTTCTATCAGCATCATATCGATGTTTAATTTGCGTAACTTTTCTTTATCCAAATAATGTAAAATAATAAATGAAATCTCGATCGGCGATCACTGAAACGCAGCTAGCGACTGTATACTCGAAAAAGCAATGTTGCCACTTCTTCTCATTAAAACATGTTCGAATCGTGGAAATTTTGGAAGATCACAGGGTTGCTTTTAGCATTTAGATGCTAAATGCAAAAATGGAGTTGCATTTAGTTGCATTTAGGTGACGAATTTTGTATGGATAAATGTACATTTAGAGTAGCATTTAGAGCTAAATGCGCTAAATGTGCCTTTACGCGTAAGCAAAAACAGCCCATTAGCATAGCTTAAAAGTTTACCAGTGCTCTTGAGTTGTTCACAGTTCAAAAACTGTCACTGGTTGGTGAACTGGTTAGCTGATAAATCAGTGCGTGTGTAGGGCCTTTAACGGCAACACCACCTTGTGTGAATGCGCCTTGGTTTTAATTTAATTTAATTTATTTAATTTGGCAACCTGAATTGCAATTATAGATCCGGAATCATGGTGGAATATCCATGTCCGCAAAGAACTGTCATATTCCAAGATGGGTTTTCAACAAAGATGTTAAACACGTGCCTCTGGATAGTAGTCTAAGGGCCGTTTGCACCATGTCTAGTTAATTCTAAAGGCTCTGTTATGCATACTTGGCATTGCTTGAGAGTTGTCACATAAGGAATCTGTTAAATGAGCTTCGCGTGTAAGCGGTTACCCAACGCACAGCATTACATACGTAAAAGTCTGTTGGTTTTTGATTTCTACGTAAAAATGGTATAGCAGTGCATGCAATGCCAAGTATGCATAACAGAGCCTTAACTCCCAGTTAAACATCTTTATCGACGTTATCGACACCCATCATATAACATGTGATCGATAAAGCAGTTAACGTGCTTAACTGAAGGATGTACCTCCAGTTAGCGTTAACTAGACATGGTGCAAACGGCCCTAAAAGGTATTCGCCTTGATAGTTTTAAAGTGCTAAGGATTTAAATGATTGGTTGACTTCCAAACCATAAATTGCATTGCAAACGTACGGAGTATAGTGTTCCATATGCCGAAATACAAAATGCTGGTGTGTATATTGTTACAAAACGCACCTGAAACTTGTATCAAAGCGCATTACTGGAGCAATAAGCGCGAAGTAAAATGTAGCTAATAGAACGTAAGTGATTTTTTTATAGTTGTATTTTCATCATATTCATATAGGCGTTTTTGTATCATGGGCGTTAATATATGTACAGTATATATGTAAGCAATAACCGTCTAGGTGGGAAAACCCGAACCCGATAAAAAACAATTAAGGTTTCGGATGAAATGCTAAGAGCCTCTCAGACGTGGGTCTGCAATATATTTCGAAAAGGCTGTCAAATTGAGAAATTTCAGAAGGCAGTTGGGGCTGGCTTTCCAAAACGGAACCTTTCGAGATTTCAGCGAAAGAATAAAGGGATTTCGTTATTAAACTTGTGAGGATGTTGAGGGAGGCCTCCTTTTACTAAATTGATCACTCTCACAATTTAGTTACTAATAGTATTTGTATATTTGCAATGTTCACGTGCATATGTAGTACTTTTAATATGTATCTATTGTTCAATTATTTATGTAAAACGCGTTTATAAATGTGTTTACAAGATTTAGCACTTTTCACAAACAAACAGCAATAACAATGGCCCACAGTAAGAGCAAATGTATGCTGTCGTACGTTTTAAAAGTAAATACGCCACAATTAAGGGTTTTTATTAAAGTGCGGCCAAGACAAAAAGGAGTTATGAGCAAAATTGAAATATTTATATCGATATGCATATATCGAAAATTTTTAATGAAATATCGGGCGTTTTTTTTTTTCTTACAAATTTTCGCCTGCGGCTCTTTTTATAACAAAAATCGATACATCGATAAATAATGAAAATTTTTAATAAAAAATAGCGCGGCGACGTTATGCAACTGCCGGGAAAAGTTGAAAAAAAAAAACAAAATATTTGGTCGTGATTTTTTCGTTGTTCATTCAAGGTATAGATTTTTTTTTTTATAAAAAATTTGTAATAAAAAATCACGACCAAGTATTTTGTTTTCTTTTTCAACTTTTCCCGGCAGTTGCATAACGCCACATGGGTAAAAGATCGTCGTATGTTACTTTCGGCAGGTTTTGGGAAATCGATGTTAAAGATTCCATTTCAATTTCTCAAAAGCTGTACAATCGTTTCTTACCAAAATTAAATGTTTGATTGTACATACTATTTCAAGTATAAACCCACTTTTTCTTAAATTTTCAATAACTCATACAGCTTTTACAGCCACTTGCTTATAAAATCATTTTGTCGTGTGTTGCTCGTACGCAAAAAATTGATTCTAATACACCTGAGATATAAATTAATGAATAAAAATCAACAAAATCTTACACAATTTGTCGATAAAAGTTGCCGTAGCACATACGACTTTCCATTGTGTAGGATTAGTGTGATTTTGTCGTATATACCATACAATTTGACACATAAGACAATAACAAGTAATCAATTTCATCAAACTGTATGAAAATTTTTTTCGTATGTGAAATTTTTCGTCACATACAACAAAATGTTGACCGAGTCGCTAGCGAACTTGCGCAAATACGACACAATTTTACTCGTATCTCGGAAACTAAAGGAGATTTCCAAAAACACCATTCGAAATATATTATTTAAAAATAAAAAACTGCATCATTAAATAAAAATCGTCAAAATGGGGCTTTCGATAAATTTTTACCCAGGCGACGATGAGCAGTAACACCTTGCATTTAAAGCGTCTTCCAAAAGGGTTTTTTTTATTTCCGAAAGGCGAATTGCAGATTGCTAGTGCAGCAATTAAAAATATATTTCCGAAATCGATTTGCGCTCTCAATTGCAGTCACATTTGGCAACTTTTATTTCTGAAACTGGCTTTGCTAGCAAAGTTATAAATGTCACGCAAAGCAACAAAGTTTTATCTGGCATCAGCTTTATTATGCTGCTGAGTTGGGCGAACGTTCCAAAAGCTGCTATTCAATCGCTTGTTTTGTATGGAAGAAGGTTTACATGCAAATATGTTTTAACAATTTTGAATTTTTATAAGAAATTAAAAGTATTTGACATTTTCGAGACCAAATAATTTGAAAAAAAATTAAATTAGCCGCTCTACTGATACTACCTGGTTTTGTAAACTGTAGAAATTGTTTGCAATTCCAAACTTTAATACTCAATTTTTTTTTTTTTTATTACAGCTTGATACAGATGGTAACTACTAATGACTAGCTACCAATCCTTGATCTGGAATTATATACAACAAGAAAATATGTACAGTAAGGTAATATTTATGTATGCATTTGTTTATGTATGTATGTATGTGGAGTGCCTGATTAAAATAGGATTTTTCCTCGATAAATCATTTAAAAAAACAGAGACGAAAATGAACGAACCCTAAATATACTTTAAACATCATGATTTGTCGCAGTAAACAAGGTGGCCTCATATCAAGCCAAAACGAAAAATATTTCCTTAAGAGATAAGCCTCTGCTGCTAGCGCTGCACTTCATAGGTTGTATAATAATTGTTATTATTATATATGTAAGCTTTCTTTAAAAAAAAAAAAAAAAAAAAAAAAAAATCCGTAAGACCATGATGTAATGAGGAAATATCATCTTTTGATTAAACCATCTCTGATGTTTTCACAAAATGAAAATGAAAAGTGATGCAATTTTTTGATAGGGACATCTGAAAATCTATGAAAGATTTATTATTTTTAAAATATACTGATCTACTTTCGTATCTATGTACGTACTTATTTTAATATGTAATATATGTATGTATGCATACAAATAAATATTTTAAATTCTCTACCGAACTGAATTTCGTAGGTCCAAAAACTGATTTATCTCTGGGCTGATGTTTATTAAGTGGATGTAATAGTAGAATAAATATAATGGCTGTTTTAAAAGCTAAACTATAGATGACATTAACTGGAGAGAGAGAGACTTTGATCAGCATTGTTTATAAAGGTAAATTGCACATATTTCAAACGAATATACATATGAATGGGATTAACCCAAAGTTTGTTTATCTTTACAATTTGTCTATGTTGCAATTTTAGCTACTCCTTTCCACTTCATTTACTAATATAACAAGAAAATTAAAATGTAGGATTAAGTTAAAAAAAGTAATTGTAAGTAATCACATCTTTTTAATTTCTAAAATTTTCATTTTTATTAGAGCCTGATACGGAATGTAAATACTAATAAAGCTAAAGAAATACTTGATGTGACGTCGTATAAATATGTACATATGTACATATATCAAAGTACATATGTATGTGGCTGTTTCGTAACAATAAGGTAAGTAAAAATACCCAATAAGCAAAATAAACTTAAAGAAAGTTTTTTTTAAGTTTTCAATTATAAACATTAAGCTTACAAAACGTTGATTTTTTGTTTATAAAACGCTTGAAAGTAAACGTAATATAATCGAAAAGGAACATTGGTTATAAGCGTAGAAATATAAACTTGTAATAAATGTTCAGAAGAAAGCTTTTTATAAGCGTAAAAGTGTAAACATATAATAAAGGTTCAAAAAAAGTTTTTTATAGGGGTATGAATATAAACTTACTAAAAATTTACAAAAGAAAGCTTTTTATAAACATCTTTATAACACTTTATTTAAAGATATTTCATTAAAAACTCATACATAGATTGCTTAACATCTAGAAACTAAACGAAATGCGAATTTTCGGCGGACTCATCTACAGTCGCGAAAATATAAATAGGGAATAGACATTTTAGCATACAAATTCACAATAACACATACAAATTAAGCATAAAAAAGTTAATTATTACATCTTGTTGCGTGCTTTCAATTACTTGCGGTTATTAGCAAATTGGAAAAGCGACATCGATGCAGCTATATATTCCGCTTCATCGCCGCCATTCTCATTGATGAACTTTTCTGAAAAAAATTTAATACATTTTTAATTGAATGTTAAACTAAGAAAGGATAAGGGGAACTCATCATTTGAAGACTCGAATGCTCCACCGATTAGCGCAGCGGGTCCTGGATTGGATTTTTTTTTACCACATCGGTTTTATTTAATTTTTTCTTTTAATAATATATTTTAAAAAACGTAAACACGTCACTTACGATTGGAAAAATTTTATATTTACTACTTCATGTCGCTGGCATTTACATTTCATATATAAGTTTAAGTTATTTATAAACATTCGCTCTCAAAACTTATTAAAGGTTTATTTGAAAAAACTTTTAATAAGCTAATTTGAAAATGCTTATTTAACGCTTATTATAGCAAACTTAATTTAAGTTATTTTTAAAAACGTTTACTGAAATGCTTGTTGGGTAGTTATTCATGCATATGTGTGTATGTATGTGGAGTGTCTAATCATCAGGCGATTTTTCCGTAATGCATTATTTTAAAGGAAACGAAAATGCACGAAATCTAAATATTCTGGAAAATTTCTAACGAATTTCGAATTTCGAGCGAAAAGTTCGAGTAGTTTTAAAAACATAGCAAGTATTTTAAAACCCATTTAGCCGTTTTAGGATGTATCCGATCTGGGATGTACATATACATATCGTCGATATTTTTGCAAAACTGCCCATCGACCAATTGCAAATTTTACAGGAGAGCGAAAAAACGGGGTTTCTTTGCAGGCATTGCCTGGATAGGCGGTACTTTCTCCCGCTATTATTTTACAAATATGTTGTTTTAACGACGATTTTACGATTTTTGTGCGTAAATTTCGATGCCTGGAGTTAAGGGTTACAAAATCTCATTTTTTTGCACAACGGCGATTCAGGCGGTTTTGCAACTGGTCGATGGCGGTTTTGCAAAACATCGACGATATATATGTATATATGTACAGTAATGGAAAAAATAATATAAACGTACAGCTTTCATACGAAGATATCAGCTCATCTAACTTCACCACTTTGTATAAATTCGCCTTGAATGAGTGCGAAATTAAGAGTGTTGGAGTTTTTTCCCTCTTCCTTGAGCGAAAACAAAGCACAAATGTAGTTTTTAGGTTCATTCCTTATCTTTTTGGACTAAAATCTGAAAAGTGTCAAAATGCCAGAGCGTAAGCAAAATGCGCTCACTAAAAGAGAATAACAGGAAAAGTAAAGGAACGCAAAAAACCAAATTTTTAGTCCAAAGAATGGCAACAACAAAACTAACGTCAAATAAGAATGGAAATGTATGTACAAAACACATTCACACAAGCACAAGCACAATAAACACTTACTTTATCAATTATTTTTTGCCTCCTTCCAATTTCAATTCACTTTTTTTACTTTTCAGATTATTCTCACTTTTTGCGTATTCTTTAATTTCCGTTAATTTAAATTCAGTTGAGTTTGACCCTTCAGGATTTTGCCAGAAAAAGTTCTTCTGACTAAATCTGACTACTTCGGACTGATGAGAGTCACTCTCACTGAATGTTGCTCTCTCATTTTTGCTGTCATTTCCGAGTTAAGGAACGCTTTTTGGACTAAATCTGACTACTTCGGACTTTTTCTGACTATTTCTGGGAGATAAGGAACGCGCCTTTTGTTTTGGTATAACCGCTCCCACCAAGGCGAATTTATAAAAGGTGGTGTTGTTAGATCAGCTGATTTTTCGCTTTATGTACATGCATTTTGTTTTTGCTTTTAGTCTGTTCCAATAGCAGTCCGGTTTACAGGATTTAGTCAGAACTTACAGGAAGTCGTTCCTATTGACACAAAACCTGTAAGTGGGAACACATTTGAGAGAGTAAATGAGCAACTGTTCCTAGTCAGAAGTTACAGGATTTAGTCCGGAGATTTTTTTCCTGTAAGTTCATGAAAAGTGTCAAACGATCAGCTGATTTACATGTGCAAACAAAAACAGAAAGCAGTGAAAGCAAAGAAGCTTATATTTGTTAAAAAATGGAAGTAAACAAGGAAATATTTGAATATGTATAAATTTTAATAATTATTTAGTGATATTTCAGCCAAATCGGTGTAGTACCAATGACATGTAAACAAACCGTCTGACGTTTTTACAGGAAATAGTGCTTTTTGCGTTCCTATGCACTTCTGCATCTGTTCTCCTTTTACTCTCATTTGAGAGCGTAAAATTGTAGTTTGACAGTTCCACAGGTTTTAGTCCGAAGTTCAAAGGAACAGACTATTTTACTGATTTGACAGCACACCGGTCAAAAGCAAAAACAAAATACGTGTAAACTTTGGGGCGAATTGAGATTTGACATAACAGCCGCAATACAAAATACATGTGGTTTTTGTTGTTGTATTTTTGCTACCACCTTATATGAATTCCCTTCCCTACAAGAACAGTGATAGGCATTTGATTGATCATGTGATACTCACTGGTGATGGAGATCTCAATCATGTACTTCTATCAACTTTTTAAGAGCAATATGAAAAACGTAATGTAAACTTTTGTGTACATGTGACCATCCGTCTTCCTCCAACTTATGACTTTATTTAGTGGTTTCTTTTTAACCAACGCAAAATTTGCAAATGTGTTAGTAAGATAAATGAGAATGTGTTAGTTTCCATCACACAATTCTTGTAGGGTTTGCTACCTAATGGTGAAAACAAGGTGTGTATTTAACAAGGTGGTGTTGGGGCGACAGCTGAATTTTTCGCCGTGAAGGGCATTATGTTAAAATGATGTGTTTGTTGTAACTCATACCAATGACAGTATGGATATTGCGTATAACTTGTTATACTATGTCCCCACCATAGCTTAACCGCGTAGTTATGGTTGTTGAGTTGGTTATCTCGATAACCCACTTGAATTAGCGTGGTTTCGCTATATAAAAATAACAGCACTTAACCATTTCACTGAGATGGTTAAAAGCTAACCAACTCGAAACCACGTCGGAAGTCTGATACAATCCTGTGTTTTCCCGCCATCTGTGGGTCATTATCGTTAAAATTTAAAAAATTCGTTCCTTACCGGTGTTCGGAGCTAAAATCCGATCAGATTAGATTTACTCCGGTTTTTGAAAAAATTTGAAAGCTACTCTTCTACTCCGCTTGATTTCAAATCAATTCCGTTTTTTTTTTTCACTTATGTTCTGTTCCTCTTGGGCCCGTTTTCACCC